CGGCTCCTGCTTGCCTCCACTTCCCTCTTGGCTCCACTCACCACCCCTCCGATGCAGCAGGATCTCTGGGAGGAGAGGGCTTTTCCTTGGCCGGGGACAAAGGAAACTCTGAAATCTGCTTTTTCTGACCTAAACTCCCAAATCCTGAACTTCAGCAAGACCCAACTTTGCACTGCTCCAGCTCTCCCCAGCTGTCCTCGCTTGCTGGGCTGGTCCCCAGGAGAGGGGGATGCTCATCCTGAATGGGGAAGAAGTCGATGCCTGTCCTGGGCTGACTCTTCCAGCTCTGATGGGCACAGGGCAGGGAAGGATGACCAGCTGAGGAGCTGTGGATAAGTGGTGTATAAGGTGGAGAAGGTTCATGTGAATTAACTCTGCCCCTGTGATTATTCCAGTCTCAGCAAGCAGGTTTTTTTCACTGGAAAGCAATCTAATTCCAGCTGTAAGCAAAGCCAGTTACAGTGCAGGGACTAAAACCAAATTAAATCTTGTGTATGGCTCAACAAGGGGTGGGTTATTGAGAGGAAGAGAGGAGAGATCGATGTGAGCCTGACAGGAGTGCTGTGCAGGGAAGGGGGGAGGCAGGGCTGGATGCATGCTGCCTCTTCCAGGAGGTGGGAACGACCGTGTTCGAGGAACGGGAGGAAAGTGCCCAGATAAAATGGGGGGTGGTGGTAGGGATCCACTACAGGGGTCATGGAATATCAGAGGGAAGTGTCTGTGAAGAAATGAAGGCTCAAAGGCAAAAAGCAGCCAGAAGATTCCACCCGGAGAGCAGAGATGTGAGCAGCCCCAGGAGGGTGGAGGAGCGGTGCCCGGCTGTGGTGTGTGGCAGTGGAGGAGCAGTGCGTGGCATTGCTGGTGCCCCTGTATGGCACCAGGATTTTGGCAGGCAGCTGGCAGTGCCCGCAGGGCGATGAGACACGTGGAGCTCATTTCCAGTTGATGTTCACAGCCAAGGGAAGAGCAAAACACTTTGCCCTCAGAGCAGACCACAGGCCCAGGTGGTTTCTCATGCCGCAGCCTTAGCTGGTGGGTTCAGGGAGGTTCCTCTGATCCCCTCGGTCCATGTGCTCCTGGGCCCCCATCCAAGTGCACCCCATCCTTCATCGCTCTGCTTCCCACCAAGGAAAACCCCTCACCGCGATCTCCCAGAGCTTTGGGGAAAAGCAGAAAGAGACAGAGCAAAGAACATGGGGAGAAGGGGAAGGAGTTGCTGCCTTCTCTTCTCCTGTAGGCCAGATGGACCGGGGCAGTCAAGAGCTTACCAGGATCTCCAGAGGGTCTGGTGAATCCTGAGGGTCACTGCTCGCTTCCTGGGTGTTGATGCAATGGGCTGGTGCTTCAGGGCCTCCTCTGCCCACTCCATCTGCATCTCCTCCTCCCACACCCTCAGCCAGGTCCATTTCTCTGTTCATGGCTCACAGTTTATTTTTACTCTCTTTCTTCTTGTTATCTTTTCTTTTTTTTTTTTTTCCCCTTCTTTCATCCTGTCCCTATTGATCTGCAGAGTAACTGAAGATGCAGAGGAGTCAAGACAGGAATAGACACGAGCAAGCCCTTGGCCTGTGCGCTTGTGTGTGTGCCAGGCAGGTTGGGGAAGGGAAGCGGAAAGACTTTTCCCCACAGATCTCTATTCACTGCTTAGTTTTCTCCTCGGTGCAGCAATGAGCTCAGTCATCTTCTCGGGAATGGGTGAATGAGCTTTTCCTGGCTGCTGGGACTGACTGCCGGCACGATGAAAGCCGCCAGTTCTCTTTCCATTACACACCGTGTCTCTTTGGAGTAATTTTTTCCCCTTCATAACGTCAGTCACCACAGTGCTCAGCGGGGCACGCTCCATCACGGAGACATTAATAAGCCATAATTGAAGTTAATGTGCCATGGCCAGGACATGTGGATCCAGTTAGGAGAAATCAGATTGAGCAGAAGTGAATCAATTTTAGGCTGATTATTAAGATCTCTCCTTTGTCCTCCCCTGCCCCAGTGCATGCTCGCTCTATCTGTCTGTCTGTCCATCCTGCTGGTGATGAGCAGTCCCCGGAGGAAGGCAGGAGGAGGGAGCGTTACTCATCACCAAGCAGCTCCATGTAACCGTGCCGCATCTCACACTTTGCTCAGGCCAAAGAGGCACCAACAAGAAGTTGAGGTTTCCAGTTTTGTAACAGCATTTCCTTTCCTCTCTTCACCAATTGCTTTTCTGAGGGTTTCCTTGGCTTCTCTTTTGCTTACACAAAAGAATCGAAGGGAAAGGCCCTCTGTGCTTCTCTGCTTTTATCCCTTCCTTCCCCTTGTGTGGTTCTCGGTGCCGTGCACGGATGCTCTCCAGGAGGCGTTGCTCTCCGCATGACTTGGAGTGGAGAGTTTGTGCTAGCAGAGCAGAACGAATTTGCCCAGCCCGTTATCCTGGTGCCAACAGCCAGGATCAGGCACTCCGGACCTGGAGGATCAAGGCCATCCCCTAAAGCACCTTCTCCAATAAATCGAGCTGGTTAATTGTCAGTGGTACCCACATGCAAGGGATACATTTTTCTGCAATCTTGTTGAGGCTTGAGATGCGGTGATGCTTGATGCTGTACTGTTGTTAATGATGAAGCAATTCCTGCTCAGCCTGGGGGCTGCCTCCAGCTTCTGTCCTCCAGGCCAGCGCAACGATGGCAGCTCAGCGCGCTTCCCCTGCGGTTGTCGCTCAGCTCAAACCAGGGATGCCAGCACAAAGC